GGCTTTAGTATAAGAGAAAAGAGTCGCCGAAAATTTCGTTTGTATACTACGAGTGAAATTGACGTGAAGCCATGAAACCAAATAGTATTTTAGTTGATCTCTTTCTAAGAGATGGCGTTGCAATACATATGTTAGATAGGGACAGATGAATGCGTTTGAGCGAGACACAATGATACATAATAAGTATAAGAAATGAATGAAAGATGTCACTATTATCGAATTTGGAATTAAAAAAATTCTGTATCGGTCTTGATTAAGTTCGATCGTCATTCCACCATCTCCTTAAGAGTATTAATTCTGTGTAATATCACACGCGTGTCACTACCGGACATCGAATATGGATGGACGATAATATATTGAGTTACTGTTCTCCTTTATAATAAATATTTAGTAGATTAATTATGCAATTGATTATACAAGTGAAAAAGTACCTAAATTAGATTAATTATATCACTTTATTGGTACAGATAAAAGTTTTATTACAGGCAACAAAATCGAAAAAGGAGAATACCATAATAAACTTGAAAATGATTAGAGAATCTAAAACTAGAACCATAAATGAGAAACAATAACATAAGAGAATCTGCCTTATATTTAATTGTCAACTAATGACAAAGAAAAAAATTAACATACGCAATATATTCATTTATATCTATATTTTTTATATTAATCTTAATGCATGAATTCTATAACAATATTCGGTAATTATTCAGAATAGGGGAGGCAGCTCCGATGACTGTGACCATGACATATGTTGTCAAGGTCATGACCCTGAGTGACCTCCAACAAATTTTAGCCGTCGCTGGTCCTTCGTTAAAAAGTTATTAACAAAAAAAGTTTGAAAAATAACGTATTTCTGCTATGTATGCAATATTAAATACTATTCTACATAGGTTTTGACTTTCAACATGAAGCAACTTTCACCCTCCTTCCCCGTGCTTCAGGGGAATAATGCAAATGTTAATTAACAGTGTTCTTTTGTATATATTTTGACTTATTCTTTTAATTAAATCACATGGAAGTCGTAAGCCCCGAAGCAGAGAGGAAGGAAGGTGAGAATCGGAGATGCGAATTGCGCGCCCTTGAAGCAGGGGG